AAGAAGCAGTAAAAAATGAAGAAATTCAGAAGAGTTCTGATGATAAGATCGAAGAAGCTGATAAGAAAAATGATTCAGGCAATGAAGAAAAACCTGAAGTGGAAGATCAGTCTATGGATGATCCCACAGACGAACGTGAAGAGGCTGAAGAAAAACCCACATTTGCCTCATCTAGAAACGACAAGAACGTTGTTTCACGCGAGGATTTGAAGGCTATTTTTCAGAAGTTCGGAAGTATCAAGTACATTGATTTTAAGATGGGAGAAGAGTCTGGTTATATCAGGTTTGATGAGCCTGAAGCTGCCCAGAAGGCTCGTGCGGCTGCAGTCCTTGCTGATCAAGGGGGATTGGCTGTGAAAAATTTTATAGCCACTTTAGAACCAGTTTCAGGTGAGGCTAAGAAGGAGTATTCTGTTTGCTCATTGATTTGAGGGGAAACATTGTACTGAACCTCCACTGAGTAACCAGTGTGTTTTGGAAACTATTCTAAAATTTTGAGGTGAAGCAGGTATCTCGATATGACACTGTAGATATGGGCACACTAACTCTCTCCTCTAGATATAATCAGGTCCACTTATCCAGTGAATACATCGTCTTGTTTGATATGAAGTGCGCCGACTTTGTCAGTCTATTAATAACGACCCAAATGACTGTGAAGCCTTTTTTCGAGCTCTTTTACATGCAGATAGGTTAGATACCTGTTCACATACTCTACCGCATCCCTCTTCATAGCAGGACACCAGTAGCATGTTTTCAGATCTTGATAAATCTTGGTGCTACTGTAAATGATGAGTGGTGAGCCTCTGTCAACAACTCCTCCTTCAGTCCATCATCATCTGGGACACATAACCTGGCGTTCTATAGGATGCTGTCATCTGAGGTTAGCGAAAATTTGCCTGTTTGTGCATATCCCAATTGTTCATAAACCCTCTGCAAGGTAGGGAACCTTCTTTTGTGCTACTATGATGGTCTACATGTCCTCAAAGTGGGTTGGATGGTCTACAGGGCTAATCACGTCATCGCCCCCTTGACCACCACCGCAATTCCAGCCATCTCCATGTTAGCTTGGATCTCAGCTTGCCTCGTTAATAGTGCCGACGTGTGGGTCGTCCTGCTTAATGCGTCGGGACTATATTTGCTTTACCTAGGTGGTAAAGATTGTCTAAATCATAGTCTTTAACTAACTCCAACCACTCTCTCTACCTCATGTTGAGCTATTTTTGTGTGAATAAATACTTGAAGATCTTGTGGTTCGTGTAGATTTGGATTTTCTCTACGTACAAGTAGTGTCTCTAAATCTTTAGGGTGAAAACCACGGCTGCAAATTCTAGGTCGTGTGTTGGGTAATATTCTTTTTTCGGGAGGCATAAACATCACTCTCCCGTTTTACATCAGTATGTAGCCCAGTCCTTTTTTTTTGACGCATTGTTGTATACTACGAAGTTCCCAGTACCTTCAGGAACAATAAGCACCGATGTTGTCACAAGTCTCTTTTTTAATTCTAGGAAACTCCTCTCACAAGCTCTATCCCATACAAAAAGTTGTCCATTTTGGTTTAACTGAGTCAAGGCAGTAGTGATCTTAGAAAAATTTTGTATGAAATGACAGTAATAACCTGTTAGCCCCATAAAATTATGTACCCCGATCGTAGTAGTCGGACGAGGTCATTTATCACTACCTCAAATTTGGCTCGATCCACTACTATTCCTTCCTTTAACACCACATGGCCTAAGAAGGCGACTTCATGAAGCCAGAACTTACATTTCAAGAACTATGCAAATAGTCGATTCGCTCTTAGTGTGGTCAATACTGTCCTTAAGTGGTTCTTGTGTTCCGTGCTGGGTCTAGAATATATCAGGATGTCTACTATAAAAAATGTGTCAATGAAGTTCATGAATAGCCTCTTCATCAAGTCCATGAATACAGCGGGGCCTTTTGTTAGTCCAAAAGACATTACTGTGAACTTGTAATGCTCATAACGAATCCTAGAAGCTATCTTGGGTATATCTTCTTCCCTAATTCTCAACTGATGGTATCCTGAACGTTGGTCAATTTTTCAAAACACTACAACCCCCTGCAGTTGGTCAAATAGATCGTCTATTTGCGACAACGATTACTTGTTCTTCACGTGACTATTCAATTCCTGTAGTCTATGCACAAGCGCATAGACCCGTCATTCTTCTTAATAAACAACGCTCAATCGTATAAAGTCTTGGTTTAACAGTTCTTGCAACTGCTCCTTGAGTTCCAAGTCTTGCTCGAGCCATTCTGTAAGGAGCTTTAGAGATTGGCGTTGCTCAATTCTCAAATTGACATCTCTTCTAGGTGGTAGTCCTAACCGTTCTTCAGGAAAAAAAAAAAAAAAAAAAATCTAGGATTTTGTTCATAATTGGGACCGTGGCTATGTCTCTGTTTGTATATCTAACGTCCACCACACTAGCCAGCAATCCCCATGCTCTTTGGTTCATTAGTCTCTGCTTTCGCCGTAGATATTATCTTGGGTATACTTTGAGATTTGGTGCCCTTGAATCTGAAATCTGTCTTCGGATGGCGGCTGAAAAAGAACCTATCCTGTAGACAATCAATGTAGGTATAGTTCTCTGTGAGCCAGTCCATTCCCAGGATAACATCGAAGTCAATCACGTCAATGATTATCAACATCACCTCAAACTGGCCTTCTGCCACTATAATCGTTCCCTCACTAATTCTCTCGTTGACCATCATTATCGTGGCAGTTGGAGTAGACATTGTCAGGTTATTCTAAAGGCTCTATCCCTATTCGTGCTTGTCTAATGAACGTAGCGGATATAAAAGAGTGTGTTGATCCATAATCGAACAAGGCAAATGAAAAATAGCTAATTATTGTACCTGTCAACATGTTTTTTTTGCATATGTGGCTCGCCGAGCTGTGGTGGCGTGAGCCATGCCTCTAGTATGTATTTTTCTGCTTAGGTTCCCTTAGTTTGACCCTGAAGGTCGATTGGCATATATTCTCAGTCTTAGCTGGTGCCTGCTCTTTCCACGGTTAAAACATGCCCCTGTCCTAGACAGACACTCCCCATCGTGGTCCTTGTCACAATGCTTACATTTTGGTTTCCCAATGGTTAGAGGTAGTTGTTAGTCAAATTGTCTTTGTCGCGGTTGTTGCTGGTAAAACTGTCTTCTGTGTATTATGCCACTGGTCAAAGTGCCTCATAGGAGATTGCTTCTTAGACCTTGAGAAGTTTATGTCAAACCTTCTTTTGTTACTCAAGCCTTGTTGATTGCTGGGCCCCTGATGTTTCGACGGTTGACATTGTCGAGGAATATGGCTACCGTGACAGCTTCTGCATAATCAAGTGATGCATGGGCCAACACTTTCCCCTGAATGTCCAAATTTAGGCCACTGATGACCCTCTCAGTCTCAGCCTCCTCTATGCCCACAATGTCGGATTGAAAGGGGACAATCGAGCAAATTCGTGCTCATAGTCCTCCACTGTTCTTCCCCTTGCTTCAATTATATAAACTCTTCGTGTCTTTGAAATCTAACAATCCTAGGGTAGTACTTTCGAAAGAAGGCTTCTCGAAAATATTCCCATGTCACCTGCTCTCCCACATTCTCGAGGAACGGAGAACTGACTCCTACTAGGAATGGGCTCGATTTCTTAGTATATAAGTTTCATAGTGGACATTCTTGGTGTCAGAGCAGCTCATGTACTTGAAGACTAACTCAATGGTCTTCAACCAAGTTTCTATCACCTCTATATCTAGGGTTCACCCCTCAACTAGTGGGGGTCATACTTCTTAAAGTCCCTTTAGATAACAAGACTTTTCTGACGTAAACTTATCCTGGTGTCCTCGTCTCGATCTGTTTGCCAACATAGTCCTCCACTGTTCTTCCCCTTGCTTCAATTATATAAACTCTTCGTGTCTTTGAAATCTAACAATCCTAGGGTAGTACTTTCGAAAGAAGGCTTCTCGAAAATATTCCCATGTCACCTGCTCTCCCACATTCTCGAGGAACGGAGAACTGACTCCTACTAGGAATGGGCTCGATTTCTTAGTATATAAGTTTCATAGTGGACATTCTTGGTGTCAGAGCAGCTCATGTACTTGAAGACTAACTCAATGGTCTTCAACCAAGTTTCTATCACCTCTATATCTAGGGTTCACCCCTCAACTAGTGGGGGTCATACTTCTTAAAGTCCCTTTAGATAACAAGACTTTTCTGACGTAAACTTATCCTGGTGTCCTCGTCTCGATCTGTTTGCCAACATAGTCCTCCACTGTTCTTCCCCTTGCTTCAATTATATAAACTCTTCGTGTCTTTGAAATCTAACAATCCTAGGGTAGTACTTTCGAAAGAAGGCTTCTCGAAAATATTCCCATGTCACCTGCTCTCCCACATTCTCGAGGAACGGAGAACTGACTCCTACTAGGAATGGGCTCGATTTCTTAGTATATAAGTTTCATAGTGGACATTCTTGGTGTCAGAGCAGCTCATGTACTTGAAGACTAACTCAATGGTCTTCAACCAAGTTTCTATCACCTCTATATCTAGGGTTCACCCCTCAACTAGTGGGGGTCATACTTCTTAAAGTCCCTTTAGATAACAAGACTTTTCTGACGTAAACTTATCCTGGTGTCCTCGTCTCGATCTGTTTGCCAACATAGTCCTCCACTGTTCTTCCCCTTGCTTCAATTATATAAACTCTTCGTGTCTTTGAAATCTAACAATCCTAGGGTAGTACTTTCGAAAGAAGGCTTCTCGAAAATATTCCCATGTCACCTGCTCTCCCACATTCTCGAGGAACGGAGAACTGACTCCTACTAGGAATGGGCTCGATTTCTTAGTATATAAGTTTCATAGTGGACATTCTTGGTGTCAGAGCAGCTCATGTACTTGAAGACTAACTCAATGGTCTTCAACCAAGTTTCTATCACCTCTATATCTAGGGTTCACCCCTCAACTAGTGGGGGTCATACTTCTTAAAGTCCCTTTAGATAACAAGACTTTTCTGACGTAAACTTATCCTGGTGTCCTCGTCTCGATCTGTTTGCCAACACTGCATCCACAATGTTTGTTACTTGATTGGTCAAAGTTGTCTGCAACAGGTTTTACAGCTCCTCTACAGACATCGTCGCCATGTTGCACAACGGTGGTGTCATTGTATCTTGTGCCGGGACTTGGGTTGCCTCTATCTCAGGCGTCTCTTGAGAGGGAACATCGACAGCCTGTGCCATACCACCAATCGTATGACACCTGCTAACACTATCTCTAGCTTAAGAAGAAGGCTTAAGAAGAAGGTGTGTGTGGTTGTGATGGTGGTGGTGTTTGTTCCCTTCGTTCATCTCTCTTCCAAATTTCCTTTATAAAAAGCCTCTCTTTCCCTCTTCTTCTCTAACTCCCATTTCTTTCTCTTTCTCTCTCTTCCCCAAAACACAACCAAAAACGATGTGTCGTTCCGACCAAGCCTTGGAATCCTCTTCTGTCGTCCTTGATTCCAAATTCAACCCCCCTCCCCTCCTTCAACCCACTTCCAATCGCCTCCTCCACCGCCGTAATTCCCTTAACAGACACCCTTCCCCCTCCCCCAACATCACCTCCACCTCTGACAAGATTCTCCTTCCGCTCGCCGCTAACGGCGGCTCTCTGTCTCGCCCCCGGCCTGCCTTGGATAGGAAGAAATCCAAAAGCTTCAAGCCTGGGGGAAATGGGAACGTGGGTTCTGATAATGTTGCTGAAGTCGCGTCGCCGGGGAGCATCGCCGCCGTGAGAAGAGAGCAGGTGGCGCTGCAGCAGGCGCAGAGGAAGATGAGAATTGCCCATTATGGACGGTCTAAATCCGCCCGGTTTGAGAAAATCGTTCCCTTTGATTCTAAGATTAAAGCCGTTGTTGAAGAGAGAAGATGCAGCTTCATCACTCCCAACTCAGGTACCCTTCAATCTCCCCTGTTTCTTTATTTATTTATTTTATTGTATTTTAAATCTCCCCTGTTTTTTTCTATTCATAAGTTAGGTTTTTCCTTGTCAGATCCCATTTATGTGGCCTATCACGATGAAGAATGGGGCGTCCCTGTTCATGATGACCAGTGAGCTTCTCTCTCTCTCTCTCTCCTTCCCTGTTTCTCTCTCCTCCATTGTTTTAAGCACTGAAGCTTGAAATTGAAAACAGAACGCTGTTTGAACTGCTGGTTCTGAGTGTGGCCCAAGTGGGTTCGGATTGGACTTCAATTTTGAAGAAACGACAAGATTTCAGGTACAAAAACCACCTTAATCGATCCCTTTAAGTTTGTGGGTTCGTCTGTAATTCACTGAATTAGAGCTTTCATCTTCGCCCAGAAATGCATTTTCAGATTTCGATGCACAAGTGGTGGCGAATTTTTCCGACAGACAGATGGTTTCGATCAGCTCAGAGTATGGAATGGACATTAACAGAGTCCGAGGAGTGGTCGACAACGCAATCCGGATCCTGGAGGTAATTAATTAAATAAATAATTAATATGTTGTTCCTTTTCCAAACACGAATGAATTAATTAGTGGGGGATCTGTTTAATTTTCAGATTAAGAAGGAATTTGGGTCATTGGAGAAATACATTTGGGGGTTTATGAACAACAACCCATTCTCACCGCACTACAAATCCGCCCACAAAATCCCGGTCAAGACATCAAAATCAGACACCATAAGCAAAGACATGATCCGGCGAGGATTCCGGTCCGTCGGTCCCACCGTGGTCCATTCCTTCATGCAAGCCGCCGGTCTGACCAACGACCATCTCACCACCTGCCACAGGCACCTGCACTGCACATTAATCGCCGCCGGCCGTCACGCTCCACCGCCGGAAGTGGAGGAGACGACGACAGGTGCGGCAGGCTCGGAAGCTGTGTAGAATTCAGTGGTTGCTAATTAACTATATAACTGTTTTTATTTTATGTTTTTTGTGTCAAAATGTTTGTATGAATAGAATGTCGTGAAGTGGTAGTGACAATGTCGTGTGTGTTGGTCAGTTTGCTTTTGTAAATTCCCATCTCATCCATCCTAATTTCAAACATTATTAAACCATTATTGTATTATTTTTAGTCTTATTTAGCCTTTTATATTCTCGATTAAGTTATCGAAGGTTCGAGTCTGAAAATAATTGGGCGTCGTAGTTAAAAGAATATGAAAACAACTATCTTACCCATGATCTAGAGTTGACCGTCGTAGTGTTTGCGCTAAAAATTTGGCGACACTGCCTATATAGACAGAAAATTCAAATTGTTACCAACCACGAGTGTCTAAAATATTTCTTCATCCAGAAAGAGTTGAACATGAGACAAAGACGGTGGTTAGAACCGGTGAAGAACTACAGCGTAGATATCCAGTACCACCCTGAAAAAGAAAATGTGGTCACATATGCCCTAAGTAGAAAGACGACCCACTCGTCGACCTCCATTATGAGAGAGGTAAGGGTATAAAAAGACTTCGAGTGAGCCAACATAATTGTAGTGACTGAAGGAGTCCACAGTTGGCCTGACTCACAGTACAACCCACACTTTGGCTGAGAATTATTGACTCCCAACAAGAGGACCCTAACCTACCGAAAATCCTAAGCCAACTGGCCGAGAGTCCAGGAGACGGATTCTCGAAATCCTCATATGAAGGACTATTGTGTCATGGACGCCTATGTGTCCCAGCAATATAAGAGTTAAAGGAAAGAGATATTGACGAAAACTCACCCAGGAAGTATTAAGATGTACTAAGATTTAAAAGCCGAGCTTATGAGCAAGTGTTGAGCTTGTCAACAAGTGAAAGCTCCCAGACAAAAGACAGTTGGGATGTTACAACCCCTAAGTATTCTGGAGTGGAAGTGGGAGAACATAGCAATGGACAAACAGAGCGCCTAAACCAAATCTAGAGAACATGCTACGTGCTTGCATATTAGACTTTAAGTGAAGTTGGGATTTCAAGTTCCACTTGATAGAATTCTCATACAACAATAGTTTCCTAGCCACTATTCAAATAGTACCGTTTGAGGCCTTGTATGGGAAACGGTGCAGGTACCCACTATATTGGGACGAGGTAGATGATAGAGAGTTAGTAGGAACCGAGCTAGTTCGAGTCACCAATGAGGTTGTCCATAAAATCCGAGCGAGGATGTGTACCGCTACAGATAGAAAAGCTACGACGATATAAGACGTAGAAACTTAGAGTTTGAGATAGGGAACCTGGTATTCCTAAAGTTGGCACCAATGAAAGGTGACTTGAGGTTCGGACGTAAGGAAAAGTTAAGTCTCAGATTCATCGGACCTTTCGAGATTCTCGAGCAAATTGGTCCCGTAGCGTATGATGATGCTAATAGCATATGAATTATGTATGATGATGCTAGACCTAACCTTTCCTCTAAGAGCCCAACAGACCACCATGACATATCATGACATACGAACCACCTTAGGAGTGTCCTTAGCTACCAGATGTGTAAACAGTGTCAACAACTTCGTGGAGGAATGGGGGTTTCTGATCAAAACCAAACTGAATCTAGCCATTTCGCATGGAGAACGAGAGACCCACGTCATACAACCCATTAGCTGCATGAGATAAGAGAGGGGTCCTGCCCCAATGAAGGGGACTATTACGGACCTGGAAAGTTTCAACTCACCCCTAGTTAAGATGTCATATAGTCTTATAAAGGCATGCATAAGGTAGCGTCTCGTAGAGAGACATCAGCCATTCACAGCTCGACATAAGGAATTCTCAGGTGTTTAAATGAAAGGACGGAGAACCAAAATAAATTAAATGCGAGTTTGGAGCATTATCCGACTAGTCTCGGGTCGCTCAAGTGTGATGAAAGGAAGAAGCAATTGTTGTAACTTAAAAAAAACAAGAGACATCCTTTTATAATGGAGTACCAAAATAATATGATTGGCATTAATGAATAATTATAACATCATGAATGTGAATAAGGATGCAGAGGGGTTAGGTTAGAAAGAAGTAGGAAGATGTACATATATATGTATGTATGTATATATATATATATATATTCATTGTAAACCAATATACATTTGTCTTTTGTTTAAAAAAATAAAAAAGTAATAATCCCCCTCTCCATGTTTGTTGAAATTGAATCATTTAAAAAATAAAAATAAAAAAAAATAAAAATAAAAAAAGAAGAAGAAAGGAATGAAAGAAAGAGGAGGAGTTCTAGGCGCAATCGGAGGGAGCAAAGGTGACGGATCCCTTAAGTAAATCAAATTGCCAAAGGTAAGTTTGCTGAATAATATTCCCTAAGATATTGATTGACGGAAAGGGCACAGAAGCTATGGCAATACAGCTACATTGGTATGCCACCGAAACGATGTAGCTCCTATCCGGCGGTTCGAACACCGCCCCGCCTTCGAAATGGAATCCAAGCTTCGGCAACATACCAAAATTCCACTCAGTGTCATTGAAGCAAAGTACGAAGTTCCTCTGCTTTTCCATTCGTCCGAATTTCGCGATCTTGGGAGCCATCGCTTCAATCACCGCATCGTGAGCAGGCTCCGTCAGCATCGTCAGGCTGGTGCCGGTGTCCAAGATGGTGCCGCACCCGGACTTGATGTTCCAGACGTGACGGGGGATGTTAAGGATCTGGTCGTCGACGGAGATTCCGATCAGTTGGACACCGTAGTAGCAGTTGTATTGGCCGCCGGTGAAGAGTTTAGTGGTGGCGGGGGGGCCGATGGGAGAGGACGTGGTGGCGGAGAAGGTCTTGGGGGAGGGGGTGCCGAAGACGAAGTAGCTAATGGCGGTTGTGTTGCGGTGGTGATCGGCGAGGCAGTAGGAGAAGCCGCCGCCGACGTTGTTTTCGGCGGCTTTGTAGACGAAGGAGTAGATGCTAGAGCCTAAGCCAATGAGGCCATCGGCTCCCTTCATGAAGTTTGTGAGTTCGACTTCTTCTGTGCAGCCGAATAGAATGTCCTTCAGTTGCTTTTCTTTTCCGTTTGTTAGTCTTACCGTTACCGTCTCGTTTGCGAATATTCCACTCGCACGCTCCCCACCTGTGTAGCTGTGTTTTTATTTATTTTTTTTTTATTTTTTTAAAACAAACCAACCAACATCCATTTATTGTTATAATGGTCCCCACCAAAAATTTTATTTAAAAAAAATAATAATAATAATTAATACCTGTAGGTATAGGAACAGGGGGTGTTAGGGGTTGGACAATCGGGTTGGCCGCCGAGATCAGGGAAATCATCGATGCACTGCTTGGAGGAACAAGGAATTGGGGAGAAAGAAGACGACTGATTCGCATAAAGCGCGTATCTGAATCTCCCTCTCATTTTGTTACGCATCTTATGCATCGGAGAGAGGTTGCTGCAATCTCCCCTGCACCGCCGGAATCTGCATTTCGTCCACAATAGGTCACTCCCGGTATCTGCAATCAGTGTGAACGTCTGCGGCGGCGTTCCCACTTTCAATTGCACGAAAAATTCACCGCTACCAAAATCAGCGCCGGGGTATGTTTTCAATCCTATTGGCATCTGCGACTGGGGAGGAAGATTCGAACCCGAGACCTCCTTCTCCTTCTCCTCCGCATTCTCCACAACTTTGGTCCAATTCAGCTTGGCGGAGATGGATCGGAGGCGGTTTTGATCGTGATGGCGAATATCCTTGATGCGATCCTCGGCACTATCCACCTTAATTTCGTCATCAAGCCTTTTAACCACGTCCGGATGGTGGCGGTGTATCAGATCCAGCCTCACGAATTCTTGTTCTTCATTATTGGCATCGCTTTCTTGTTTCAGATTATTGGCATTGCTTTGATCGGCGACTGCGACGGTGAGAGGAGAGAAGAAGAAGAAGACGACGACGAAGAAAAGGATTAAAAGATGAGAAATCGGCGACATTGCTCCGTTCCTGTCAGAGAAAACAGATGAAGCAAGGAGGAAGATGAGAATGGCGGACTTAAAAAGAGGAACAACATCTATAAACCCTAACCGTAAAACGTTAAATTTAGCATCATTTTCTATTTCTATTTATTCTAAATCTGTTTTCCTTATGTTTTCCTTATGTTTTTTAGTCTTATGGGTATCATTTTTTTACCTCTATTTTTTTACTCCTGATTTTGTGAAACTGTGTATTTTAGACCGATTTTGTCACGACCCAAATTGTAAAAAGACTTGGAATGATGCCCCGGGACATGTTTTCCTTTGTCACAATCCACGTTTCCCAAACACGTCGTCACTCAACCCGTAGCATCACATACCTGAAAAGGAAAATGTACGAAGGATGTGTATAAAAGTTATACTTATAGGCTCTCATCGATTCTAGGCTTAACAGATTCTCATAGGCATCTCATAGGCTCTAGGACGTCGGGTTCTAATCTTATCTCATTGGGGTAGTTTGGTTCTTTGTCCTTTCCTTTATAAACCTTGAGAGTTTCTTATGTTGAGTTGTGAATGACTGGTGTTGCTCTACGAGGCTGAAACCTAGATGGTTAGCTGAAACCTCCCAGATCGACAATAGTCCCCTTCATTGAGGGGCACAACCCCTCCCTTATCTCGTACGGCTAATGTGTTGTATGATGTGGGTCTCTCGTTCCCTATGCAAAACGGCTAGGTTTAGTCGGGCTTTGATAAAAAAAAACCTTTGTTCTCCCACGAAGCTATTGAAACCATCCACACATCTAGCACCCTAAGGACACACCTAAAGTGGTTCATAAACCATGGTAGTCTATTAGGCTCCTAGGAAAAAGGTTAGGTCTAAACCGGAACCTAACCACAAGTCTCTAGTCTTTGCATGTTACTTGTTCATTAGAATTCACTGATGGTGCAAACATTAATTATTTAGAACCAACCTACATAATTCATACAAAATAAACATATATGCTCAATGAGCCGATAACATCCATCAATACCCAGAGCTCAAAGTTCACAAATTTCATTCCTCCTTTCAGCATGAATTAAACACATACCCATATAGCATAAACATAAAATATGATTGCATTTGCATAACATTTCATGCATCCATAATCATATTACCTAAGTTCATTTAATGGAAAAGCTACCACCTAAGGTAAATATACTAGCATACATGCATTCCAAGCAAATCCTACAGGCATTTCTTCCTAAATTCCGTGTGGTGACTTACATTATTGATATGTGCCCTTCGTTTAGCGGTTCTACACACTTAGGGTGTCCAAAAAATGTGATATTTTTCAAGTAGGTCCTAAATCACATAAAAATATGGTTAAAATTTGAATTGAGATAAGAATCGAGCAAACGAAAGTTATACGATGAGAGCCTACAAGTAGGTGGCTTACTGAGTATAATTTTTATACTCATTTCTTTCTACTCTTTTTTCTTCAGGTACCGGTTGAGGTGGAGGAGCGTTCGAGAGCTATGCGGTCACAGAGGGGGTCGTTCCGGAACGTCAGTCTCCTTTTAGTCTTTTGGAGTCTTGTATTTCATTTTATATTTGTAGTTCCCTCTATAATATTTTGAAACAAAACTTCATGGTATTTTTATCTTTTACTTTTCTTTCCTTTTCTTTTCTTTTTTGTTGTTTTTCGTTTTCGTCTTCTTGGTCATAAACCGAGTTTCGAAGTCTCAAAAATTGGGTCATGATGCAGCTCAGTTGAGTCAATGAGTTACGAGTCGGATCAGGTCAGTACGCGGATCATGGGTCGGTTAGGGTTTGCAGAGCACGTGTTTCACATTCTGGTTGGAGTCGCATTGCTCTGCTCAACGCTGGACGTGTTGCTCCACGCAGCGAGCGACACATGTCCCTATTCTAGCCATGTGGGACTCCCCTCCCGCCGGTTGACATGTGGCACGCCAACGTTTTCTCTCTCCTTCGACAAATTGCAACACAATCAATTTCTGATAAGCTTCCCTCATTTTTCTTATTTTCATAACTTTAGATTTTGGAATCAAATCAATTTAATTTCTTCAGCAAACTCATAGATTGTAATGCAAACTACGTCCCGATATTTTTCTTGAATTTTAAACACCATCAGAGATCAAGTTATGAGCATCGGAAGAAGGTTCGTTACTCATTCCTACTGTTCTGGAAGATACTCTCGATCTTTGCATTTCCGGCCAAGTTTCTTCACAAAACTAGTGGGAGGACCTTCCCTAGATGAATAGATCAAAGTTTTAGGCCTCGATTCGCAAGAGAAGCCTTAGATCTGATGAAAAACTCACAAGATCATACCTCTTGAATTCCTTTCGGTTCATGATGGAAAGTAGAACTCCGATTTCTCAAAACTCTCTATCCTTAAGAGAAAAAGAGAGTCAAACGCAGCTCGAATTTTGTTAAAGTTCCTTCACAAGAATTTCTTAGTGGCCTTAGGAGATCGTCAAGAATCCAGGAAGGTTAGTATTATGGCTTAATTTCGGTTTTTCTTAAGATTAGAAAGCTTTTCTTGGAGCTAAATAATAAATTGAATTATGTACCAAAAGTAACGAAAACTCGTTGAAATTGAAAAACGCATTGCGTTCTAGAAAACAATTTTGCAAGAAGGAAGGACCATTGATACGTGTCTAACATGACAAAGGGAGCCACGTGTTAGGAGTGTAAGAGAGTCATGCGTCCACGCACCCGATAATAGAGTTGCACCATGTATCAACACAAGGAGCGTACATACTCCTCTCCCTTGACACATCGCTAAACGAGTGTGGCTATGCACGTTTTTTTGTTTACACGTTTGACCTCCCTTTGACTATTTATCATTCTGATCTCAATACTTACCTTAATTTAACTTGAATTAGGATCTACTAATATCAACACACACAAAAGCTAGCTTGAAAGGCAAGCTTCATTCCCGTAATTAACCACCAAACCTTAGGCAAGTAATACTTGCAGTATCGCTGGAATATGTTACCATGCGAGCCTTCCTTACCAAACTATTTGTTAATTATGTAATTAATCGAATATTATAATAGAGATTCTTGGAACCCACCAAATTAAAGACATATATATATAATACATTTTTTTTCCCTTCATATGTTTATAGCAAATTAGTTCTTGAAATTGATTGACATCATCCTCCACGACAACGTGTGATTTTAGAGCAGCCTCGACGGTAAGAGTTAGCTGGTGTTGCATTTCCAACAGAGCAATCGGGAGGTGGGTTAGGCGGTTGGCAAGGATTAGGAAATTTAAGAAACTTGGTCTCTGAGGCCACTTCTTGGCTCTACACGAGCATGCCAATTAAGACTAAACATATCAACCACGACCTCCTCGTCACAAAATTCTTTTTATGTTTTTTGATTGTTTTTTTGGGGTGATTTTTTCTTTCCTTTTCCTCTCTTATTTATAAATTTCATAATGATTGAGATTTACTTAAATAGGTAAATGGTTAAAGATAGTTTTCATCCTTTTTAAGTTTAATGTAAAAATTATTCTAAAAATAATACACATTCTAATTACCCAAAAAGGAACTAATTAGTTTTAATTTTGTCTCTTGTAATGGTTTAATTCTTTGTTTTGTAGTTAATATTTATATCCCACAAATTGTCTGGTTGGCTGGCGAAGACAAACTAAGGTCCGACGAAATCATAAAGTCAGACAAAATATATAGAGAGAGAGATCGTGTGCTTGTCAAGATCACAATGCCACATAGTTGAAAAAGTAGGACTGTGACAATATGCATGCATATGAACCCCTCTGACCCATGAGAAGCATATGAGTGGATGTTTTTTTTCACACCTATTTCAATACTAATCTTCTTTTTTTTTTTTTTTTTCTGAATTAGATTCCTCTACCCGCTTTCTAGAAATTTTTGGGACTTTTCCAAGCTAGTAATCATACTCACTAAGGCCCACACCAACGAAAATTTAGGAAGCAATATTTGTAGAAATCCCTTGGTTATGCATGCATCCTAGTTAAATAAATCTTAAGTTGCTAGTTTGGAATAACCAATACCTAGACATTTCTAGATTGTACTCTGTATACCATATTATGCTTTGCTACTACTTGTACGTTATTACACTATGACGGTAGATGGGATATTTGTGTATCTACACTTTTAGTGCTTGATAGACGTTATCACCCAGTAGAGAATATGTGGTTGTACGTATGGTTAATTGTACATTAGCTCAGGTGAATGAATGTGTGATTCCTCCCTATAAAGAATAAGACGTAGGATCGACTTAAATCTAGGGTGAAAATGTTAGGTTGGCTAGGCCGTGATTTAGGATGGAATGCCTCCCAAAGTTTTGATTAATCAACTCTTTAAGAAATAGATACCCTTACTCATGCGTATATAAAAACTTGGAAATAACTAATTCAATGTTAGAGACCTATTAGTCATTTTTACGGCTTAGGAATCTATTATACACAAAAATAAAATGCTTAGAAATTTAGACTAAACTTGTAATCTAACCTATATTCCACTTTACTTTTGGTTATTTACTTATATACCCAATATCTTTTAATTAATTAATCAATATTAACCATTTAAACATTAAGAATTAGTGGAAGTTTTTGAAGAAAATTTGATATAAGAAGTTTAAATTTATTAGACAAAGAAAAAGATATAAAAATAAAGCATTTGAACATTCAAAATCTTCCCCAAGTGTATACAACACACGTAATTTCAAGAGGGCGTAAAAAGAAGAAACATTTGAAGCTTAAGCCTAGAACACTCTTGGCTTGGCAACAATGGTGGAGTGCTTCAAAATGTGCAAGCTGAATTGGCCGCCTTTCTCTGAGGTGTCCAACTTGGAGTGTCCAGGAGGAGGAAGCAGCTCGAAGTTTTGAATCAAACGTCCAATTGTAATGCCAAGGATAGGCAGAGCCAAGATGATGCCAGGGCAACTTCTTCTACCAACGCCAAAGGGAAGGTATCGGAAGTCGTTGCCGTTGGCCTCAACCTTCGACTCCTCCTCCAAGAACCTCTCAG